CTAAAAAGCTAAGGGGATGGCTGGGAGCCACCAATAAATTTGAGTTTCATATGTGGGTCTGTCTTTTGTGGGTCTGGCTTTTTTTTGGCGTACCCCTTGTTTGGTGGTTTTGAAGCAAGCCAAAAGGGAAACCACCATTTTGAGGGCTCCACTAAAATGAGACAAACCCATTTGGCATTTCCAAGAGAAATTTGAACATGCCAAGGTTTCGCAATTCCTTGTTCACCCTTAGGAAACCAAACCACCAAACCCCCCAACCTACCAACTTCTGTCCATCCACAGCAAACGGCAATCTTGCCAGAATGTCGGTTTGTGAGCAAAGCGCAGCTTTGCAGGCAAACGGGGATCGGTTTTCGGTCCCCATCAGTTTTATGGTCGATTCATGTACTCGGGTTGACTAAGAGGGACAAACTCAGTTAGAAGGATCCGGATCACTTTGGGGGAAACATCCGCCGGGTTGATCAATCTGGCAACACCGCAAGGCGCCAAACAAAATGACAAAATGTTCCGAAAATATTGGCATGCAATTAATATATTGCCCAAAAAATGGATAGTGCGAAGTAAGGTACAAGCCTACAATACGATAAGCCGGAGACTAAGACCAGGCAAACGAGGACGTGCCAAAACGAGAATCTATCCAACAGGCTGGTGTGCAAATCAGGGCGACTCAATACAAGACCCCCCACAAAATGGTCGGCTTTTGGAATCCTTTTTGAAAAAGGGGTTTGAAAGTGGTCCTTTATAAGCCCCTTCCCTGCTTAACACATACCCAAGCCAGTGCAAATGTCTACAGCAACAAAAACACATCCGCACCAAAGCTCATCAGTGCGAAGGACCTGCACCCTGACGCAAACTAACTAGGCTTCCCAAAAACCTGAAACCCAAAACCCATGTATCCTGAATCGGCTTGCGACTTCCAACATGGCCGAACATATGTTGGTCGTTTTTGCTGGTTTTGGGGGAAACCACCAGAAACAACACATTTTTGAGGGGGTCCTCTACACAAGACACACCCATATGCCAAACACCCAGCAAGTGGACCAAAACAGTCAAACCTGCCTTCAATCGAAGCCTCTTGGCTGGAGGTCTTTCTGCCTGGCTCGTGCGGCATTGCGCCGGCGGATGCCCCAAAACAATGACAGTCCTGCGAGCATAAGGCTTGGTTTTTGGTAAGGATCATCAAGAAGCCTGTCCAAGTAGGGGGAGCTTTATAACAGACCTAAGGGTGTTTCTCAAAATAGTTCCCCCCCAAAAAAAAAGAGAGGGGGACCCCCTCAGCGTGGGTATTTTCCATGTGAAACGAGTGTTTTTCCGAATTGGGGAGTTGTGTGCAGTTATGTGTGTATACCTAGACCTCCCTCCCTTGGTTTTTTTTCAGGCTCTTACTGGTTTTCAATATTCCCTTGAAAATTCAAGTGCCCCCAAAATCACGGAACCATCACTTTTGGGATGGGTTTTGCCCTGAAAACCTTGGGTTGGGTTTTGGGGTCCGGCCCTGACTCGGCACATGTTTTGCTGCGGTGGCTGCCGGCATCTGTGGGTCAGGGCCCCAGCAGTCGGGCGGATTCTCTCTCGCCCCTCCAAATCTGAAGTGCACCTGCTAAATATCTTTGCAGCGTCCTCTTCTGTCCGGTCTTTGCCGCAGTGCGGCGTGAAAGCAGGCTTGTCCTACCGATGAAGTCTTCTGCTTGAGAGCAACTGTAAGCAAGACAATTCATTGATTTTCTTCCGGCGGCTGAATCATTGCCCAATTGAAGAATGATATGATGAAAATAGTGCAACTTTGGCTTGTACGCCCACAATGGGCGCTTTGCCTGGAACGCAAGGGTTGCCAGCTTCGAGTACCCTTTCAGGAAGCCCATGCCAGCTGCAAAGATGCGGCGTCCAGTTGAAGGTTCCTTAGTATCAAGTACACGGGATTGGGCGCACAAACGAACTTCAAACATTGTGTTTCCAGACAGGCCAACATCTCAAACAAAACAAGGAGTAGCTCTGTTTATCAAACTTTCCGGGCAAGGGTCAATCCAAAGATCGGCGTCATAAAGGTCCTGCATACAAGAAGCCAGGGCTTTGGTGGATGAGTTGATGTAATACAGGATCTTGTCATCGGGGAATTCGTCTAGCCACATGTCCGTAGTGTGCTCAATAAAAGCAACAATTTTTGCTGTGTCGGACGCTTTGGACCACGTTCCAGTTGGGTAGGTCTTGGTGTTGTCCGTGTAGGTCAGCAGGTTCCTGTTGAATGTCCCTGTGTGAGTTTGCACCTTGAACAACTGCCGCCAAAGCTTGAAGCATTGGTTCAACACATCCAGTTGCGCTTCAACGCTGTTCCCTTCAGACGACTGGAATGCCACAGGTAATAAGTAAACCAAACAGCAGGCGGCATAGTCTTGGCCAAAGCCAGCCAAGTAGATGTGAAACAAATCCGGAAGCGCAAATTTTGCTGGCTGACACACATACCTCAGGCTAAGGGAAATCAGTTGGCATTCATTGTTTGGGTCCCAAGGTGGCTCGGCAGCGAACTCCTCCATAGATGTCCACCAAGCCGGCTCCTCAGAATGGAACTCCTCAAACGGGAACTTGAGATCGCCGGCCATACAAAGCCAACAGCAGCGACCCAATGTTTGTGTGGGCCTGTCCGGGTTGTGAGGGGCCTTTCTTGATGTTGAATACCACCTGGTCAAACAAAGAGCGCGTGCTTGGAGCTTCAAATCACCCTTCAAGCCCAATACCACAAGTCTCCAAACATGACCTCCAATGGTGATGCCCGTCTCAAAGCACTCGCGGAAGTCTTCTCCCAGTTGAGTCAACATATCCTGAAAATTGTTGTCCTTTTTGTGCCACGTAGAAGGCATGACTGCCCACATGTAATGGGTACCGTAACTATGGCCCAGCAAGTTTACCCGCATTGTGTTCCGCCTTTTTCGAAATTGTCTGACAGCAGGGTCCTTTTTGTTCTGTTTTCCTGTCCCAGTGCCCAAAACTGCACTCCAGTTGAAGACCATGAACTCTGACCTTTTGTACCCACGTCCACCATCAGCATGCACATGGATTGGAATGCAATACTGCAACTCAATGTTTTCGTCCAAATCAGCTTTGGAAAACAACTCAAAGTCTTCATGGCATAGGCGGTAAGCAGCCCAGAAATCCGCCAAAACAGGGCCGGCGGATTGAAGGGAAACGCCGCCCAGCAAGCGGTGAAGGTTGCCACTCTCAGCCATGTAACTCAAGAAGTCCTTTGGTTTCAGCCGCGGGTAGCCCTCCAAATCTGGCTTGCCAGTGACTGGTGACAGTTGGATGGGCAAAGCAAGGCCATGTTTCTTCAAGATAGGGTGCAGCCCTTTCTCTGCGTTGGTGGGCTTCAAGTTGGCAATCTGCTGGATAGCACGGCATTGAGACAGCTGAGAGGAGCTGCCCTGCGCGTCGGCCAAGGCGCTCTTGGCCATCTCCACCACTTGCGAGCAGGGCACCTCAGTCGACCGGAGAAAAGGGTATCCAGAGCAACAAGCTGTGCAAAGAACAGAATGGCAACAATTGTGAGTCTCATGCATTTGCAGGACGGGCCCACGCACTTTTCAACCTTGAGGATCAACGATGCGATTTCCAACGCCAAGGCTATTATACATCGCTGATTTAAACACCAGGTATGTGAAAAAGGGGCCAGCAACCTGTTTTCTCCCCTCACCCCCGGCGAGGATGTTTCTGTTCCCCGGCTTCCCCTGATGGGATTCAATGAGGACAGCTTCCATAAGAGCTGCCTCTTCCCATGTAACCCCGGCATACAATATGTACATGCACTTGAATTTTTCCTTGCAGTTGTAATACCCTGGCGATGGGTTCTGCAAGGTTGGGCTCTTGTAAAACCGCACAAGAGGATCAGCTGTCACGCCAATTTTGTACACCATCGGCCCTTGAGCAAGGACTTGATCTATGGTTTTTCTACAAAAGGCAAGTGCCTTGCCTGTGTTAGCAGTAGGCGGTGGCAATTTGAGCCACACAAGTCCATCGTCCCCTAGACCATTTTCAATCAGTGCTCTCAACCTTGGATGCTCCCGAACAACTGGTCGAAACATGTACATCACTTTCTCGCCTAGGTGGATGGGCACAATGCAAAAGAAGGCTGCCGATGTGTCAGCAAGTATACCAAACAACTGAGGGCTAAGCTGTAGTTGGATGCTCGTGGTTGGAACACATGTTCCATCTGCAGTTGTTTGGCATCCCCTTGCTCGTCTTGCTTGTTTTTTGAGCCAGAAGATGATGTAGCTGGACAGCAACCATCGATTTCTGTCTGAGCACCTCAGATTTTGACCGGTGAAAACTAGTCAACACACCAAGTAAGATTTCAAACATGGCCCCATCCAAATCGGGCATTGCCAACTCAATGAGAGTTTGAACAGTGCAACCCAAGAAGCCTTTGCCCTGTAGCCCTCCGCAAAGCTGTTCGTCAGGAGAACCATCCAAACTGAAACCAACAAGTTCTTCGAGCCACTCTAAATCGCTACCTTTCCGTTTCATTGAGCCAACAAGGCTAGCGGGGAAGAAGGTTGTGAAAAAAGGTCAGCAAACTCCACTAAACAAAGGTAGAGCTGTGCATGGGCTCGGGAGCACTCGCCTGAGGCTGGCACGCCAGAGCCAACGCAGCGTGCCATGAACTCGGCAGTTTTGCTCGCACCTGGCATGGTCAAGGGGAAGAGGCGTAAAGGAACATGTTTTTGCCGGTATGTCTGAAAGCGTGTGCCAGCAACAGTCAATGCAGGTTTCCTTGCGCAACGCATTTTTGTTCCTTGCAAGCGGTCACCGTTTCTTCAACTTCTTGATTCGTTCGCACGTAGCTTCCCCAAGCGCATCAAACAAATTTAAGGGTCACCATCACGCTGCGCTGGTCCATTTGGCAGCATGTTCAGGGATGACCCGTCAAAATGTTTGTACATCCCCCAGCCATCAATCAAGCGATAAGCTTGGCTGAATTAAGACGAAGACCACGCCCCACGCAGTCATTCTCAATCACAATCAGCGCCCTTCTTGGGAGCCCTTGGCTTGCGGAGGAGAGACCTCAGAATGATAGTAGCCAAAGCTTTAAGCAGCTAGTTCCACACGAAACCCAGACCATATTTAACCAAAGGGCAATCCCTTGGTTGACCAGGCTAGCGTAAACTGCAAAACAAAGAGTCGAATGTTGTCAAGCGTTCTCAGGTTGTAGCCGGTTCTTCTTCTCGAAGGATGTCCATTTAGAGATCCTCAGGTGTTGCGGCGAAGCTAGTGGTTCAGAGATGTTGGGCTTAAGTCTGATCACTGAGCCAGGTGCAGTTTCTTGCTCTCAACAAACTTCTCATCCAGGGTCTTGTCGGTCCTTGGAGCGACCAAATAAATCAGGATTGAGGGCGGTTTTCAATCCAGTTTGCCCGATCCTTAAGCCCAGTCTCTCTTCGTTCTCCTTGAGCTCTCCAACTTTGAACGCAGCACAAAGGTTCGAAAGGTCATCGTACACTTTGTTGCAGGTGGTTCTCATAGTGTCGGCGTCCGCTTTCACCCTTGGTTCAAAGCAAACTTGTTTGACCTTTACTCCCCTTGTCACCCACCATGCAGGGTCATAAAGCAATAAGGAGAGAAAGGGTTACGCTTTTGAGGGTCCATGGATTTTTTTGCAGAAACAAATGTTTCCATAGGTGGCGGTTGGGGACAGAATAACTAGGCTCGAAACTCTGGTGCTGAGGAAGCCGTACTGCTAGACAGCTTCTCAATGAAGTTCTCAATCTTCCCACTCACGGCCAGGATCTCCTTCATGTGCAGGTCGACCATGTGGCTCTGGCACGAAAGGAAGGAGACCCTATCTTTCTGAACCTGTTTTCAAAAGGCAAATTAATGGTTCTGAGCCCTCCCCTTTGAAGACGGGTCCCCCCAAACAAGCTGCGGATTGCCACACAAATTCAGGGAAGCTAGAACACTGAAAGATTCTGGTTGACCAGGCCTTCGACTTCTGTTCGTCCTTTTGGGAAGGTCCCTTGTGACCCAACATGCACAGATCCATCTTGTCGCCCATCACTTCACCACTGAAGGAAGATGTGGTACCCTCAGCTTGTGTCTTGTCACTGAGCTTCTCGGCTTGTCTTCTTTTAAAGGTACCCTTGGTCCGGACATTGCACCAATAGTAGACGATCTTCGGGTCCACATCATCGGCCCTGAGCACGCTTTCGAAGCACAAGTTGCCCAAACAGGCCAAGTTGATAAACGCTTAACAACATGTACACATTGAAACCCAAAGCTGCTAAGGGCAACCCTGTGGCAGCATGTATTCTGGGTCTTTGGTGCCGCGTTCGACAAGTGCGTCAATTCTTGGCCTCGGAGTGTTCAAGGCCGACATGTGTGTAAGATTCCTACCAAAAGAGCGAAACGACAAAGGTAATCTAAGTCAAAAGGGCAAACCATAGCAGATGGGTCACTGCTTGTAACCCAGGATATCCTTCATTTCTTCAGGAGTGTAAAACCCGCCCTCCTGTTCCAACTCTTGGCTCCGCTCCATGCTCTTCTCCAAGGTGACGGTGCGCAGGAACTCTTTCTCGGGAGGCGCGGCTTTCAAGGAACCAATGATGGAAAGTTCAAACTGGGTTAAACATGGGATGGGGTAAAAAAGTTGTTTGAAGCAAAAGGATGAAACCAAACTCAGTCCTTCTCGCACCCCGTCTTGATGAAAGCCTCAAACAACTTCTCCCTTGCAGCCCCCTTTTCTTTGTACTGCTTGAAGATGTCATCCGGGACTTCAATCTTCCCGCTGTCCCTTTTGGGTTCACAAAGTCTCCTGAACTTTCCCCGCATGACCTCCACCTCACTAGAGGTGAACAGTTTGCCAGCCATACGTTTTGTCCCGCTGCCACCAGCTTCAACCTGATCAATTGAAGGCAGCGTGTCAAAGGTAGCAGTGTCAAACTACCCCGCCAACAACTCTAAGTACATGTTTGGACAAGACACCTCCGAAGCGCTGTTCGGGGAAGGTGTGTTGCCTCCACCGGAGCTTGCAGTGCCAGGAGCTGTGGTAGATGGCGAAGTGGCCGGGCCGCCCAGCACCTGGGCGAGCAAACGCGCAAAGTCCAATTGAGAGGGGATTCGGGATCATTTGTTCTTGTTCAACGCAGGTCTGTAAATTGGAAAGCACATGTTGGCTGTCCAGGCACGTTCTGTTCAGAGTTGCTCTTCTTGCCAAGCGGGGAAAACCAAGTCTCTTTGACTGGCGGAGTTGCAGGCGGTGCCATATAAGGGTCTTCAAGTAGGAGACTCTCCTCTTCGGCCGGGCTTGGGGATCCTAAGAACTGGCTAAAGGCCAGGAAGAGCATATCGTCATCTTCGTCGTCTGTCATTTCCTTGGGAATTTAATCTACAGGGCAAACTCAAAGAAAAAACTATGGTGGACACATGTTCGAGAACAAGATTCTTCTGGAGTGACATTCTTCTGCCCGCCATGTTCAGGCGAGGCATTTTCAGTTTCCTCCTTGACCATCAAGCCTTCAGAAGCGCGATCTTCTGAAACATCACCCGGGATGGTGTCAGCTGTCGCAATTGCCGCTGAAGTTTCCTCAACCTTTGCCTGGAGATCCTGGCCAAGGGAAACGGGCTTGATAAATGTTTGTGCCCTTGCAATGACACTAATTTCACTGGCATTGAGTTGCTTGATGAATGTTGGGTCCTTTACGAAGAGAGCGAGTTCTTGAGGGTCATCAGGAAGAATCTGATCGTCCATCATGGCAAGCGCTTCTTTCAAGGAAGCACAACTCCACACACGGCTCAACAGGGGTTGAGAGGCCATGATAGAGCCAGCCGAGGGCTAAGCAGGCAAAGACTTGAGAAGGTGGCACCCAAAACGCCTGCGCATTCACCAGAGAACAGCTGTCCAACAGTTGGCGGTCACCCTCAAAACAGTCTGAAAGGGGTTAGGGTTTGGGGCCCTCAGGATGCACCAAAACTGCGTTGAAAAGATGCGCTTTCGCGTTGTTTCTGCGTTGTTCCTGCGTCCAGTTTTCAGGCGGGGTCAGGGGGGGCTGCGTCCTGTTTTCAGGGGATGTGTTGTGTTTTCAATCTTTGGTGTTGTGTTTTCAAGCTCTGGCGTTGTGTTTTCAAGGGAACAAGGGTTTTTCCGCCCATTTTTCTAACAAAACAGCAAAACATGGTTTACAAGCCCGGAAATCAGTAAGACCAATCAAACATAGTAGTAGGAATGCAGCGCAAAGGACCAGTTTTCTTGTCTCACCTCGCTGGCACCCCTACTGATTCAGTAGCTAAACTAATTGGGACGCTAAAGGCTAGCCACCACATGTGTTTGAGGATTCCTTCAACGGCTCACAGATCAAAAATCATGTTTCCAGTCCGAAAAATGTTCAAAACCAAACCAGCAAGATGGCTCTTGGCAGCATCCACCCCAAAATCTAAATGCTAGATTTCTTTTGGAAGCACTTGCTTCCACCTTGGAGGCACTTTCAGGCTCTTGGCTCCATAAAGGTACAGGCACACCTCCCTCAAGGATGCATCATCCCACATATCGCCCCATTCCCACGAGGTCCAAATTGAGACCCCATCAAGCTCATCATCGTGGGTCACGTAATCACAGCCCGGCTTGAGCTTGTTGACAAGGGTGGCGATTCGCTCACCAAAGGTTTGCGTGTAGTTCCTAGACCAGTGCGTGCGAAGCAAAACAAGGCCAGTCTTGTTGCCACAATTCCCCAGAAAGAGAAACTTAGCCCCCCACTCTGTCAGCTTAAGCTGTGAGGTCCCATGGCCATGGTATCTTGCCCGCCCTTCAGCATCTTTATACTTCTTGACAGGATGTGGTGCGTCCTCCATTTCGGCCCTGGCCTGTTGGTACTGAAATTTCTTGAGCTTTTGAGTCCAAAAGAGGCCTATGGAAGGTGATGATGATCTTAAAGTTGTCCTTTTGGCTGTTGGAGCTCCATACCACCACATCCAGAAACTGCACCGCCACACCTATCAGTGCATTTTTTGACTGGTGTGTTTTAGGGGTGGAGAAGCAGGTCACAAGTCTCTCATAACGCAAATGATTGCATGAACAGAATTTCAAGGGTCCCAGGAAACATACATGTTTTGATGTTGCAGGCTTTCAGCCAATCAGGTTACCCTCCTCCGTTGCGAGCCTCCGTTGAGCGCTTGAGGCCGGCCATGCGGTCATGGTCGTGCAGAAGCGAGCTTCTTGGCTGCTCCGTTACCCAAGTCCCTCGAAAGGCGAGGGTTGCCAGGCATAGCAAAGCGACCCTGCCAGGGGAAAGAAGGGTCCATCCAACGTAATCCGTTTTAGCTGGGGTTGAACCTTTTGAACATCACATGGAATCAACAATGGGTGTTTCTTTGAGTGCCCCCACCCTTGAAAACCCATCTCAAGAAAAAAGGGGCCAATTTAAATGCAATGTGTTCTGCGCGTTCTTGTTGTTTGCAAACCCGGTCCGTGATGCCATTTGATTGGCCATCTTCACGCATTGAACCTCATCCTCTAGGCCTTCAGGAACCAGAGCGCTTCGTCCCGTGCTGCCACGCGATGTGGAAACCCATGTTGAGCACTGAACCCCCATCCAGTGTACAAACCCTGACGGGTCCCCTCGTAAGATGGCAATAAGCGCTGCCCTGAGCCGGAACCCAAAGTGGTGAGCTTGTTGAAAGCCGACTTGTCTGCAACAAACATCGCAAACAGAACGCCTGCTTTGTTTTTGCCAAAGTGCCCCATTCCACTGCTGGAATTGATGTCCATTGTCTCAGAGTACTGGATATCAAACGCAGCTGTGGCATGGTTTGTGAACCGGGATCTCACAGCCTGCGTGGCTGCCTGGGTTCCGGCGAAGCTCTCGATAAACAAGACATCCTGCAACCAACGCTGACGGTAAGAATGTCTCTGTCAACTACGTTGTTTGGCTAGCCCAGCAGGACCGAAGGGTTCCCACTTATGAAACCTCAGGGCTGGCCCAAATCAAAGAAGGGAGCACCTCCCCAATCCGGAGGTTGGGAAATCCAAGTCCAAGAAAAGCTATGAAGTGTTGTGAGGTAGCATGTTTTTTAAAGTTTCCAGGGCGAACATCCAAATTGCAAGACCGAACGCTCAAGGTCTGGCAGTCCTGGTGGCTCCAATCCACCGAAGTGTTCCAGAGCAGCAGGAGGCAGGCGAAAGCCAGCACCTTGTTGCTGCAGGATATGCAGTTTGGGGGACTGGGTCAACAGGGACACGTTTGATGCGTGAAAATAACATTGAGATTGGCACCTTCGGGGCATTCAACTTCTTCAGCCGTTGCAAAATGGCTGTCTCAGTCCAAGCCATGAGGCGTCGAGAGCGAGTTGCCCCACTTTCACCCTACTAACCAGCACCAGCCCAAAAGAGGCTGCGAAAAGGCTGACGATTTCCAACCACACTTGTTTTGCAAGCAAATCAGCAGCAAGGGCAGGCCAGCAAAACAAAACATGCCACGGCTTGCCGTTGTGCATGCGGTTGAGCAGGCCGTGCTTTGCTGCCATCCTGATGCCACGAAGGTCCCGCCGCTCCATAGACCTGCGGCGTCACACAAGGTGATTGAACCCTCGCTACTTGTATAAAGCGCTGAATCGAGGTTACTTGTCCCCGAAAAAACAAACAATGGCGATGAGCTGATGCAAAATGACGAACGGGCTCACTGACATGTTGATCCAATGACCCAACACGGTCTTTTGTCCATTGTGCTCCGCGTTGGTTGATGGCGATTTGCAAATCTTCAAGTCAAAGATCCTACGTAAACTTTGCAGCCAGCACTGCCACCCAGTTGGCAACCAAATACCTTTTCATGAAAGAGCGGGGGGGGCAATGGAACCACTTGAATCCTGTGTTTGAAATGGGGCAACAAGCTGGTTGAGATAAAACTCAAGGTCAAATTCAGAGAAGGTTTCCCGCAGCAAACTGTTGCTTTGAGTGGTTCTAGGCTGACCGCTAGTGGCGAATTCCACCACGCAAGACGAGATGACCGTAAGGCCCTTGGCTACCACACGCAAGCTATCCTACAGGTACCTCGCCACGCAAGTGCATGGATGCCAGGTCAATCCACATCCTCGCCCTCCTTCAGCTCGGGCTTCTGCAGGCCAGGTTTGCTGCGCTTCGCGGCCGGCTCGGCTGGCCTTGAGGCCAAACGAATGCGTTTTGGAACGAAAACACGTGTTTAATATGTTTTGGTCTTGACCCATTCTAATTTGAAGGCAACCCGCAACAACAAAATGGACTTTTGCAAAAGGGTGGCTTGTAGGAAGACCAGAACTTGACCACAGCGGTGTCGATGTACTTGAAGTCACGGGGATCGTTATGATCACCTTCCTTTTTTGCTGCTTGAACCAGCTCGCAAAACTTCACCTTCAAGGGTTCAAGGGTTCAAGTGTTCAAAGAAACCAGCTCCGGGGTTGAAAGCATCAGCCAAACCCCTGAATGAACATGGGTACACATTGCAAAACTTGCTCGGTTCCGACAAGTGCCGTGTTGAAACCCGTGCTCAGCACAACTCAAGAACAAAGCGAACAAACGATATTTGCCTGTTAGTCGCGCCTGTGCCTTGTGCTTCGTGCGGCCCTCCAGCTGCGGCTCGATGTGGAGCTTGAAAGCTTCAGCCGTGCGCGCGTACTTCTCCAAGCCCCATCCTTTGGTGGGCCGACCGCGGCCGCCGAAGGTGTGGGGGATCACGCCGTCCGCTTCCAGGCGCTTGACCTCCTCGCTCATCTCGCACGTCTGCCGGCTGTTTGAGGCCGCAGACTTGTCCGCGTTGTTCTTGTTGACCTTCTCTGGCGTCTCCTCTTCCTCCTCCGCGAGTGTCGGCTGCTGGGCATCCATGTCAGGGGATGCTGCAGCAGGTCGTTTCATGGCTGCCTTTGGTCGCGCCTTGCCTTTCGCAGTTGCTTTAGGTTTTGCAGCGCTGCCTTTTGCTTTGCCCTTGGCCTGGGCCTTTACCTTGGCCTTTGCTTTGGCACCCGCCCCCTTCTCGGCCTTTTCGGCGGCTTTGCGCTTGGCAGTAGCCTTTGCTGCGCCCACCAGCTTCATTTGTTCGTCCTTGCTCACCGCGTCCTGCCATGAGTTTTGAAAAACAAACACCCCTGTAGTCCGCCACAATTACAAGAACATTTGACGATTTGAGGTCTGTTGGCAAACAGGAGTCCTGGATGGGAGAGATAGCTGGCCACGACTCCTCCTTGTTGTCCTTGCAGGCCGGTGGTGTTGCGAGCTTCTCGTCCTCAACAACTGGCGAACTCTTCGAGGCTGGGCCAGAGCGGTGCAGCGGTGGAACGCCATTGTTATCGGACATGGGCAGCGGCTCCAGGTCAGGGGGCAACATGGATTTGGGCACCTCCTGCGCATACCCAACGCACACCATTTGGGTTTCCAACTCGTCCGGGTTCAAAGTGCGGTTGTTGCACTCGAGCTGTGCGTCGGTAAACTCCTGGTGTCCTCCCGGTGGGCTTCCAAAAGTCAAAAACAGCTTGAGCAATAAACAAAAAAGCAACCATCACCCTGCGCCACAATGAGTGCTTTTGCAGTTTGAGAATAGAAGGGAACAAAACGAGGCTTGCGGGGCTGTGTTTTGACGGATAGGGCCCGTCGTCCTGAGTCGAGCGCTCTGGGCTTGACCTCGGAGATGTTGGGCGACAGGGGAAGGGAATCCGGCTTTGTTGGAGGCAGTTCCCGGGCAGGAGCAGGGACAGCGTCTTTCCTGGGCATCCAACTCAGGGAACCATCATGTTTTGCAACAATTCGAACCTGTGTTTGCCACTGGGCCCCTCACCCCTAAAACCGTTGGACCTTAAACGACGCAAACAATACAGGTGAAGAAGGCCAGGCACTTCTGAAGCGCATGTTCCTTCTGCATGGTCAGCAGTCTTTCTTGGGCAACTGCCAGCAACTTGCCAAAGGTCTCAAGCTTCTCGCTCATGGGTGGCGGCTTCAAGTTGTCGGATTGTTCCTTTCCAGGATGGGGGCAAACAACAGGGGTGTTCACCTCTTCGGTCTCCTTGATGGGGCTATCGCCAATGATCTCAATGGCATCCAAGTTCTTTTGCGTAGGGTGACCCTCCATTGGATGGTATTCGTCCGTGGTGGCTGATGCAGAAGAAGAGGAGTTAGCGCTGTTGCTAGCACCCATCTCGTCTTGAGGTTGGCTCTCAAGGTGTCCCGCAGCAACATCCGTGTTGTCCATCTCCTCGGCTAGGACCGTCCCTCGCTCAAGTTCTTGCTCATCTTGGCCACCAGCGAGCTGGCTGAGGTGCGCGAAGAGGGATTCGTCGTCACAAGGTTGGTCTTCTGGCTCATCAAACTCGTCCTGGATAAGAGAAGTCGATGGCTGCTTTTCACCGGGAGGGTCCTCGTCGTTTGCCAGTGCCTCGACAGGGCTAACTGGGAAGGGGCTAATTGATATAGATGTCAAATATCAAATCATTTTTTGAGTAGGAACAGCAGGTTAATCCCCATGCGTTAAAACTTCTTCTCCGGACACAAGTTTTGTTTCAAAAACTGAAGCCTGTAGTCGCTTGTGGTTTGAGGACTTCAGGATGTCGTAGAGCTCTTGCAGCTCAGAGTCCTGATGAACAGAGCTGAGTGGCGTAAAATCAAGTTGACAACACTTACTTCGGCTTGAAATGTTTGCATTTTGTTCGGTCTGTCTTAAACAAAACAAAAACACTACCAGTAGGATGGTAGGCCAAGGAACCCTCATTGTCTCATGCTTGCCCAAGTTGGCCCGCAGTTTGGTGATCATCTTATGCGCAGCCCAGGCGTCATGGTAACTCCACACCTTGATTTGGTAGATTGGGATATCTCTGTAAAGCTGTTTCTGACCTTCGTACCAGGAAAGAAACATTTTGGTGGTGTCATTGATTGTGTCGGCCGCAACGCGTCCTCGGGCCAACATGTCATTGAGAATCTCCTGAAGAACCAGCTTGTTGTGCTTCATGTTTTCCGGGGTAGGTGCCACGCCTTGGCCTCCTGCAGAATCTTGCACAAGTGGCTGCTGCTTGCGCGCTCGTTCACGAAGCCCGGCATGTTGCTCCCACATTAAGCCTAATGCCCACGGCTCAGGTGAACCAGGCCCATCTTGGAAGGACTTAAGCGGCATGGCTGGTTGAGCGCAAAGGAGGGATGCTGGTACCCTGACAACCTCAAAACCCTGTTCCAGCCCCAAGGCCAGCAGAATCCCGGGGAAGTCCCAGGTACGTAGGCGAACTGAAAAGCGTTGATGTTCAACCCATGTTTTAAAGGCCACCCCAAAGCCATACATCTTTGCAGTTATTGGCTGGCTTGAAATGGGAAAAAAGATGTCGCCACGACCATCCTAGATCCCCAAAACGCCCGGCGGCCTGCAGGTCAAACCAGTGCCAGCGCCGAGCCACCCATGGATGGACCTGGCAGCCCCCGACCACTTCGAGCGATGGGCCGACGGTTAAAAAACGGGTTTATGGAGATCGGCCCCAATGGATCCGCTAGCACAAGATTCTTCACCCCAGTCTTGACTAGGTCAATCATCAGTTTGTTTGAACTCTCAAACGCCAGACTGGAAAAGTAAGACGTGGCAGGAAAACCCACCAGTGGTAGGTGCTGGCTCATCGTAAGAGCAAAATTCGAGCCAGCATGGCTCTGGACGGCCTGTTGATCTCATCAGGAGCGACCTCAAGAGGGTCCTTGGGAGCTTCAGCCCCAATTTTCAATCTCTCGCTTCGGTTTTCAGTCTTTCGCCAATTTTCAATCCAGACTGAAAAAAAGCCATCTTCAGCAGCTCCAGGTATATCCTCTGACCGCGATCTGCGCTGCAACTTTGGCCAGCTAGAAACATCTCATCCGCACTGAGTCGTCCCACCATGGCACTTGCAGCAGAAGACATGACCTACGAGGATCTGAAGGAGATTGTGGATGGCTACCTATGCCGACCTTGCGCCGCAGTAGTCACCCCAGAGTTGCCCAGAGGGGCGTTCAACATCTTGACCTTCCCCATGGAGGAGCTCAGCCAGACCGACAACCCATCCGTCCACCACTTTGACCTCATCACCGACTTTGCGGGGGAGCTCAACATCCAGGAGATCGGGCGCCTATACAAGCAGGCCTGCGATCAGTCAGACCTCCAGCTGATGCCGGCTCCCTTCGGATTGAAAGAGCGTTGCGCCAGTGACACGAAGATGCAGATGACCGTCACCAAACGCAACGACGGGTCCGTGATCATTCTGAAGCACTTTGTCTTCCCAGAGAAGGTAAAACCATCCTTGTTCATGAAGATGGCACACGGCACCGCGAACCGGGCAAAGTACATGACTTCTGCTCCAAAGGTGGGTAGGAAGATTTTGCAGTATTGCCTGGAGAACATGGGTGGTTACACCTTCAAATGTTTCGAGATGGAGTCCCAGGCGATGAAGAAGGCCAAGGGGGGGTCGACTCGCTTCGAGGAGAAGGCAGATGAGGAAATCGATGCCGGCTTTGATTTCATTGTCCAACAGGGTCCTCGCTCATCTTCTGGCATGCAGCAGCTTCGGTGGCAGACCAAGCAGCTAAGGCAGACTGACTCTCCCATCTTTGGCTGGCCCCCGGGCTTGGTGGAAAAGGCGTTGCGCAATTTGGCGGCAGATGGCGCCCTTGCCCGGAAGGAATTCCAGTGGCCCATCCCGCTGACGCAGCGCTACTACAAGAAGTGGGTGCTTGAGATGCTCGAGAAGATTTGGGAGTTTGACCAGGCAGCCTTGGTGATGTTGGGCGAAGCAGGTGCCGGCAAGAGCCCGCTAGGCCGCAGCGTGCTCATGGCACAGGTGCGGCACAACAAGATGCACTACAACGTGGATGGCAGCCCTTGCATCCGGTGCACGCCTGAGTTGGACTTCTTGCGCGGCGAGCAGGGGTCAATCTTGATGGGCGACTTTTTGGACGACACTTCCCTGAGCAACCTCAGCATGAAGATGGTCAAGGCGTTCCTTGATGTCGGTCTGTACGAATCGATGTGCTGGGCAAGATGGGGGGCATCGAAGTGGGTCCAAAATGAGCCGAGAGCCGTGGCGGACAACACGTACGACGCAGACGTGGAAATGCCGGAGTACTTCGTGGAGGAGGTTCCCTTCAAAAAGTTCTTCGATATGGTGCGGCCTGCCTTTGCTGAGAGTGCAACCCCAACCCACATGGATGCAGTGTTCAAAAGGGCGTGCTTCTTGGTGAACACCAAGACGCATGTTTACTACAGAGAGGCCGGCATCAACACCAACAAAGTGCTCCGAAAGCATGTCGAGGGCGCAGACTTTTTGACCCAGGATGGCAAGAAGGCATATGGCCTGTTCAAGGAAGGCTCGAAAAACTTGTCTCCCGATTTCGATTCGCAGGTGCAGTTGGAGCAGGAATGGGTGTCTGCTATCATGGCAAATCGCTTGAGAAAGCGCAAGGAGGACGAGCACGAGGCGAAGATACGTTCCCAGATCCGGCAAGGGCTTTTTGGAGACGTCCCTCAAAAGGAGAAGTCCATCACGGAAGCCATGGAGGTCAAAGAGAAGGACCGGGTGCGTGTGAAGAGGGAGCGGGAGGAGGACGTTCGTCAGGATGCCTTCCGCAAGGCCAAGGCTTTCAGTCGTCAGCTGTCTGGCGGTGCAATCTGCATTGATTTGGAAGAGGACAACGAGCCCAAGGAGGACGCAGTGAATGCGGGTGAGGATGTGCTGATCGAGAAAGACCAGGCTATGGAGGAGAACGCAGAGATGGACGAAGGCATGGACATGGACTTGGCCGGCATGGATGCGGATGCGGGTGATGTATTTGAGCATGGCTACGGCTTGGACTCGGACTGAGCATCAGGCGTCGCGGCAAAGGCCGTGCCCGTGGCTGACACTATGAACATAGATTTCGACCAATCCAAGTTGCCTTGTTGGCGGTAGTCGGAGGGTTCCATCACATGCGCGCATCGGAGGAGGAGGAGTGATGTAGAAAAGGGAGGCTTGCATGTGCCTCAGATACTTGCCATTCATGCCATAGGCATGCACCCATGAGCATACCATCGTCTTGCTTGAGCACAGCTTTGACAGTTCTGACAGTACCCATAGCTTGCCATAGGTAAGAAAAGCTACAGATACTAGATGCCACTGCTAAAAAGGCCGGCCATGGTCATGTCGATGCAACGCAAGTACGAGGCGACCATCTACGATCCACCGCTGCAAAAGTGTAGCGTATGCAAGGAGGATATGGTGCTGAGGCCAGATGAAAACCCAACCAAGTTGGTGGTTGCCACAAGTGAAACTCTACAACTGGCAAGCGCATACCGTAGTGTATGCAACACTCCAGGATGCAGGACAACGCATAGGGGGAACTTTGCCTACGAGGACGGGGTGAAAGTGAATGCGTTGTCCTTTCAGCAGCTCCACGCGTTCGGTGTCTACATGGTCACGGGTAGCTTTGGCTTTTCGATCAAGTACTTGGAACTGTCCTTGCTTCGATTCCTACGTGGCAACCTTGCACCTGGGCAGGAGGCAAGCGTTCGTCTCATGCATGACCCGCGAAACCCTGACGGCATCACGCAGAACACTTCCGGCAGCACCTGATGCACGCGCTCGAGGGGTATGCGCTCGCAAAGCGGACGCCCACTGAGGTCGTGAAGTTTGCAGTGGACAACCCCACTCACATCATCCCCTTGGACAAAGACATCTTCGTCTTCCCCACCCCTACCACGGTCAAGGTGTTGAGCTTCGACGGCCACTTTGGTGTTCATCGTCGTCTTCATGATGACTTAGAGCCGCCCCGTACTGTGGGGCTCAAGGGACGGCCGAAGAAGAAGAAGTACCAGAAGGAGCAGCGCACATGCACCTGTGCGAACAAGGACAGACGGAGGGAGGCGCCCCAGAATCGGACTGGAGGATGGCAGTTCGTCCTGGATCCAGATTCGCGCAGAGTCTTAGCCGCCAAAGAGCATCTGGTCAATGAGAACTTGCCCGACAAGGTCTCGGTGGTGAAAGCGGCCATGGGCATGGCCAAAGTCAACCCGGATGCACTTGTGCACGATGACGCTTGTCACTTCGAGATCCACATAAAGAAGTACAAGGCCCTCAAGACCAGCTTCAAGAACATCAAGCACTTCGTGGTGGATGAGTTTCACCGGTGCAATCATAAGTGCAAGAAGAAGACGTTGACCCCTGCTGAGAAGAAGCGCTTCAAGAAGGTCCGCACGAATATGTCTGAGGTCTTTAATTCCTGAATTCGGCGGAAGAACTTTATCTTGAACGGCATGAACCCCTTCAGCCACCGCTTCTGGGTCCAGGAGAGCATCAACTTCTGGAATGCGAACCTGCGAGACATGCCCACCGTCTCCTTCCGCAGGACCAACGTGACCACCCATGGCATCCGCAAGCGTCCGGCATCCAAGTAGAATATGCACGGGAGCACCATCTGGCGGCCAGCAAAAAGAAATGCTGCGCCGATGCGCGTCTCAAAGTCCTGCATCCAAGTGGCAGCCTTAAAACCAAGAAACATCGAGAAATCAAAAGAAGGTGTCCAAAATCGAAAAAAACATTGAGAATTCGAAAGAAACCATCCAAAATCAAAAAAAACATTGAGAAATCGAAAGATTTTGTCCAAAACCGAAAAAAAACTCGAGAAATCGAAAGATGTTGTCCAAAACCGAAAAAAACCTCGAGAAATCGAAAAAAACCAAAAAAACCAAAGATTCTGGGACAATGTGCTGGTATCATGTAAACATTCTGTTGGCCAGATTGGTTTTTTTGGTTTTTTTCGATTTCTCGAGGTTTCTTTTGGTTTTGGACAAAATCTTTCGATTTCTCGGTGTTTTTTTGATTTTGGATGGATTCTGGGACAATGTGCTGGTATCATGTAAACATTCTGTTGGCCAGATTGGTTTTTTGGTTTTTTTCGATTTCTCGAGGTTTCTTTTGGTTTTGGACAAAATCTTTCGATTTCTCGATGTTTTTTTCGGTTTTGGACAGGAGCCTGACATCTGCAAGGGGGGTGGGTAAGGTGGAGAACTGTTTGCATGATACCAGCACATTCCCAGAATCTGTTTTTTGTTTCGGTTGTGGCCAGAATACAGCAAAATTAGGTGTGTGCAAAAACCCAACGCTGACAGGGTCCCTTTCTGAAAAAAAATAGTTGGCCCCTTGAAAAGAGTTGTTCCCCTCAACGTCATTTCGAGAAACACCCATACGATTTCTGGAAAGTCAGCGCTTCGTGCAGGTTTTTGAAATGGATGGTGGAGCGGGCATCCTTTGCACGAAGGGAGACGCTGCCCAAACAAGCAATTTTCCCAAGAGAGCCCCGAGCAGAAAGGAGACCACGCGTGGAGTCGCAACGGAGTTGTTTTGACACGCTGGATCAGGGACACGGTCCATGTATACAATCGGCGCTGAGAATAAAAGGCCACCACGGTTCAAACGTGCTTGAAGGGGCGAACCTCTCCGGGCTCCCGCGCGCCTTCTGCCTTGCTGGCCTTGCTGGCCTTGTGTACCTCAAGGCACACGGAACTTGCCGCTGCAACCACGATTCCTCCGTAGATGGTGTACATGATCAGGATGGCCACCAGCAAGCCCTCTCCACTGATCTCATCGTGGGTTGCATTGAATATAGTGGATATGTATGCCTCTGAGACTTCATATGGCACGAGCCACAGCCATACAAGTAGAATCACAGAGACCTGAGCTGCACATCTAAGTGCCACCAAGAGCTTCAGGTTGGCTTCCAGTTTGGCGGCATTTGCTCGCACCTTCTTTGCCGAAAGCAAACTCAATGGGGTTGTCGGAAAGGCTTTGATCGCCAAGCCAGGTTGAACCCCAAAACTTCCCAGCATCAGCATTGCTGGCGAAAACGTCGCGAAGAGGAGGATAGAGAGGGGGGTCCTTGGCTTGGCACCAGCGAAATCTACTTTTGTGCCTAGTCTGTTCACGTGCAGTCGCCCAACGCATCTTTTTAAATTACGGTTCCAACGTCGCAGCTCTGAAGTGCAAGTGAAGTACGCGAAGGGAGTAGATTCCAGTAGGAATAATTGATCGGCATGTTTTTGTACAACATACATGGTAGGCGCTTGTTATTTGGAGACAACGCTTCGATTGTGCCGATGGTCACAAGAATTTTCGAGCGTCAAAAAGTGCGCAGACCCTGTCTCCTAAATCTGCCTTCCCTTCTGAGACACAGGTCAGCAGTCAGCACCGCTTAACATTCTCAGTCCAAGTTCCCACCTCACTCAAAACGTTCATTATCCCGCGCGCAGTCGCATTGCAAACTCCATTTGATTTCACCTCGTTTTGGCTGGAGAGTCCTGATTGTAAGCCCTTTTTGGTTGCCGTGCATCAATCCCACAATTTCAATACAAGTTTCACATGTGTCCAGGATTCCAGATCGGGCACTTCTTGAAGTTGCACCTGAATAGAAACCAAAAACCAACTTAGCAACTGCGCTCGGTGGTGGCATTTGAACGCCGGCTCTTTCTTGTAGTCGCGTCGAATTTGTGTCCAGCCGCTTTTCTCGCGAAGTACACTTGCACAGCTCCAGCTCGAAAATCGCAACTTGAGGGTTATCCGTTTTGGGGGGGGTCCTTATCGTTCTACAGGTTTTCGTGCAGCTCGGCAGTTCGGACATGCAACACAACCCCTCTTGAAAAATTGGTCTTCGTAGGTTTTGGCCGTGGCTCACATATTTGCTGCGATCGACACGGTGGCTCTCGCAGACTCTTTGTGCCAGCATCTGCAACCATCAGTGGCCATGCATCAACTTGTGTGCACTGGAACGTGTGTTCGTGTGCGTGCAAGCCTAACGACGGTAACATGCCCTCCCCCCACCGCCCCAGCCCTGCTCACAACTGCAACTCGACACATCACAGCCTGAAACAGCAAACAGCAAGAAAGGCGCCAAAAGTATCAGATTTGTTTCCTCCAAAATGGGCCTTTTCAACTCCAGTGCAGAAATGATGCCTCAAATCTGAGTTTTGATGGCTTCTCGCAAAACAAAAAAAAACAACTCATGAGGGTAAACACTGCAAGTGTCAGTAGCGGCCAAAAGCCACTGAAGCTGTTCATAGCCGCAGCACGAACATGATTATGGAAAGCCTGGTTCGCGGGCGTGGTGTCAAGCCCATTAAACAGCGCTCTCGTATGAACCGCCCGGTCAGCGTCCAACAATCCTTGACTGCAAATGCTGGGAACACGTTCATGACCAGAGCAAAGGATGTGGAAAGAGAAGGTCCAACACCACATAGGCAGAAACCAGAGCAATAGTGGACCTTTTGCTTGAGATTCAGCTCCTTGATGATGTTCCCCCGAATGGGCAGGCTTGCCGCGAAAAGCAGGGTCAACGATTTCGCCAGGTCCAGCGGCCACGTTCGCACTTGCACCGTGTTCAGAAGCCCGACTTCCCGTGCGAAATTCGTGGACCAGTCGTGACCCGCTCCTGACCGGCTGAGCCAACGGCTGAAACAAACGGATGATTCACCAAGGTGAAGGGACTCATCCCAACAAAACGTTTATACATTTTACCCAGTCGGCAGGCAAGTCTCGCATCATGTCCATAGTCTTCACAAGTTGTTTCTGCGTCGCGATAGCAGTAGCAGGCAAACTCAAGACCTGCGAGCATTGTTAGAAACTTGCGATACCTAGGTGGCTGCGCTCCCGCCCGCGCCAAAGAAACCTCACAGAAACTACGCTAAGCTCACAACATTTCATCACAGAAAGCCAAAATCAACAAGGGCCCGCTTTCGACAACCCTTTGGCCTGCGTGAAGAACCCCTTTGTAATGTGCTTGTTAAATCCCAACAGCCTCCCGCTGCCAAGCTGTAGGCTGTTGCTGACCGGATCCACCACCCTGGAGCCGTATGTTTGATCTATGAGGTCACCACCCACGCCAAACATGTTCAACCTCGGGCGCTGTTGATACCCCCGCAAAAAGTCGGAGCTTTTGAAGAGAGACATGGCAGGAATTCGAAAAACTTAGAGTCTAAAGACTAGGCCCAAATGCAGCGCAGCAACCAGCAATGCGCCATGTTCCAAAGCTGCAAAGCATGTGGCACGAGTGCGCAAAGCTCGATATTCCCTACCGGCGTCTCACTGAGTGCAAGCTTTGCAGGAACCGCTTGCCAGGGCCCCAAGAGCGCCAGTTGAAATTGGACCCGTATCTGCTGCAATGCGCTCCTCAGTTCTTCAGTGAACCTGGATTTTTTTTTTAAAAAAAAAACTTTTTGGGGAAGACCATGTTTAGTGGGGCAGCCACCAACAAAAACGGGAAAATGGGTGCCACTGAACAACCGAGGCTCCACTCTGCAAACTGGTCCCGAAAGAAGCGCTCGAACTCCGGGCCTGCCTCTGGCGTGCAGAAGGCGAGCGTGTACGCCGAAGAAGGCGGGCGTGACCAGAACCAGAGTCCTTGGCTGGAATTGGGACCCCAGCCAAAAATAGGTAGTGGAAAACAAAGGGAACCCCAAAAAAGAAAAAATGAAAGAGGGACCAATTCTGGGGAAGAGTCGCAAAAAACTCAGCGGAAGGCTTCGAGCCCGTGCAGGAAGGCCATCAGCACATCCAAATCCAGGGCTGCGCAGAGGGCTTCGCGGCGCTTCCCCGGTTGAACTTGGCATAGCACCTAGCATTGGTGATCGCAAGGCCTGCGACGCAAACGCAAAGTGGGAGCAGTAGGGGTGCATCCACCTCCTGCAGGGTTGTCCTGCCTCGTCGGAAGAAGCCGATATAGCGCTCACCATAAACAAGTCAAGCACAACGAGTGGCACAAAATCGGATTTGTTTGAATTTAGGAAAACTCAAACATGCCTAATCCTGTGGGCTATAGGGATTGGACAACCCAGCAACAGTCACAAATGCTTGAAGGATTGCAAAAAGTTCTAAAACATCACCGGATATATTTTTCCACTCCTGGGGCCACACCCTCCCCCTTTGCAAACACAATGGTTCATGAAACAAAGACACGAGTATCTTGCTTATGTCACAAGCTTGGCCGTGTTACAAACTAGGCTGGAATTAGAACCCCAGCAAAAATATCGTTTTTGCCTGGTTAGTGGAAAACAAAGGGACCCAAAAAAGGACATAACCTGGACCTTCAAACGTACCTGAAATTTCTGCCTCCCCTGTCAATCGGCTGGATTTTGCAATTCGTACCTTGTTTTCTTGGCTTGTCCTCTTTTTTGGACCTCGAGCTGTCATGTCTTAACATGGAAATGGTGTGCAAAAACGCCCGCAACGGCCCGCAAAACGAGCGCAAAAACCCGCAAATGTGAAAAAGTGCTCGTTTGAATAAACCCTGGGCACTTTTTCATTGCTCGGACAGAAATTGAAGACTCGGGCACAAACTGTGTGTTCGAGCAGAAAAAAGCGAGCACAAAAAAAGGTATCAATGGAAGGTCCAGGAAAAGAAAAAGGGGAGCTAATTCTGGGGAAGCAATTGCACCTGTCCTTGCTACGGAACATCTCCGCGAGTCCGCCAGTCATGGTCATCCATTGCGCGAGCCAGCCATAGAGGAAGAGCCCCAATGTCACTGCACGAAAAATCTGCATCTCACAAGGCGTCAGTCAAAGGGGCGAAAGGCTTCTTGGTGGAACACGGCTGCAGCGTAGATTCGAACTAGAGTCTCTTCTTCGAAGTTGCCAACTTTCACTGGTTTGTCGAAAATGGAGAGATTCCTGATCCTAATCCGTAATCTTGACTGGAGAAACCTTCAAAAAGGGAAATGGCCAAGGAGGATTGAATTTGAAGAAGCCAGCCTTCCAGTTGTCCCCCTGCTTCTACCCGTTCGTGTTTCGGGTTGGTTGTGGCGTAATGTGGTGTGTAAAACCCGTTCTGCCCCGCCACTTCTCAGCAAGCCGTTCAACATTGACCGTAACATGAGTGCAATCCTTTCTCCCTAATTAATTGTCTCCCTAACGACAAAACATGTGTTTCCCCCCCCCCCCATACCCAGCAGGAGTTGAGCCAAGTTGTCCGACCAAGGTCAACTGCAGCCGTATTAAAGCGCCCCACCAAATCAATACAATACAGTTTCGTCATTTTGTCTCGGGGAAACATGATTAGAGTTAGGCCCAGTTATAGAATGTAAATTTTACGGTTTGCTTCACTTTGAGTCACTGGTAGAATGTAAAATGTATCCTAAGTCTAGGAAAATGCAACGGGCTACTTCGCCGAATTGGAAGTAAACCCCCCGAACGAGCCTCCACCACCTCGGCCGCGCGCTTACCTGGCGCAGAACCCCGGCTTTTCGAGGACTACTTCTCTTTATCTAGGTCCGCCAGTAGAGAGGGTAGAATAAGTTGGTACCAGCTTTTTTCGGTTTTGGCTATTTTGGCAGGGGTCCTCCAGATTCGAGAGGTTAGAATAATAAGTTGGTACCCACTTTAAAAAAAAAAAAAACTTTTCGGTTTTGTCTATATTTAGGGGAAGCCCAACCAGAAAAGGGGTGAGAAAGGGGAGCTCGTCGGGCTCAAGTCCGGGAATTCCGAGCGCAAGCAATGCCGCAAGGGGATTTTCCCCTCCCTCCAACATTCTAAGGGTTGATTCCCCATTCTTTTCAACCATCGTTCTTCTCAAAAACCGGGCATTTCCAGTGTTTCCGGAGGTTTTCTAGAAAGAAGGATCCCTGGAAAGAATGGGGAAGGTAGCACTAGAAACATGGCATTTGTAGCAGGGCCTTACATTATGCTCCTGAACATTGCCTTGCAAACAGTGGTGTCCCTTTGTTTTGGTGTGGACAAAGCAACATGTTTCAACTGGTTGCAAAATGCATCTTTTCAGGAGCCCTGTTGTAGGAGGGTACACTCCCTGGAATTAAACAGGAAGCTCCGAAGTTTTTTTTTTGCAGGTTAGTCGAAAAAACCAGGCTTTTGATAAATGCTAACATAGAAGTCCCTGGGGGTTTTTGGTCGGCTTCCGCATTTCAGAACACGCAGCTGACTTCCGACGATGGTTTGGGCACTGGCTCCCTCAAACCCTCAAAAACCCTAACCCCCCCCCTAACACAAACCAAACTCCCCCCACACCCCTTCCAGAACTGGCCCAGAACCC